ATGCCTGTAATTCTAACACTTGAGAGGCAGAGACAAGAGGATTTCTGAGAGTCTAAGACCAACCTGGGCAACGTAGTGAAACCTTATCTCAAAAAGAAAAATAACAAAACAAAAAATCATAATAACATGTTCATGCATCTTATTGTGCTTTACAAACTAATGTTTAAATTCATCCAATTATTTTATGTTTCAAATGTACAAGTTTTGTTTTTCAATAAGAAAGGATATTACTCAAGAATACTTGCTGTTTTCTTATGTGTATCTTGATCTGCTTGCTTGTTAGTACCTTGATTTTTGTACTGTACACATTATATAGATAGTAGTGCACTGACCATCTGAGTTTAGAGACTGACCTCAGTCAGTCGTTGTACTGTGTCATATGCTCGTCACCTACTTGCTTTTCAGCATGGTTTTCTCACTGATTGATATCCTATATCCCTGATTGACTCCTCACCACATAAACCAAGCCGTTGGTAATATTGACTAGTAGTCTACATTGTTAGGTGTTTCATTTATCTGTGATGTTTTCCACCTGGAAGTAAATTTAATTTTGCTATTCCTCCAATAAATTACACTTTAACAGAGTGAGATATTAAACGATAACTGTTCTCTTTATACATTATACCTTTTCTGAACACTTCAGCACTTGTCATCTAAGATTTCAGATCCTTCACCTTATTAATATAAATCCTTTTGTTATGGATTGCATCTATAGAAGTAATGCCTTCAAATTTGTATGGGTGTGAAAGTTGAAAATTGGATCATTGAGTGTTATGCCTTTAGTGAATTCATCCATTGATGAGTTCAGGAGCTAAATGTGCTGTGAGGATATTTAGGCTTCATTGGAAATGATCATTGTTTTTTGTTGTTGCTGTTGTTTTGTTTTGTTGTTTGGTACTGGGAATTGAACACATGACCTCGTGCATGCCTATGAAGGCAAGACTTAGGTGTATGTATATCATTCAGGTTAACACATTTTTAGAATTTCAATATTCAACATATATTCTGATTGCCTCTTTTATATATTGAAATACCAGTTTCTTGATGAAATTATGTTCTTCATTATTTTATTCATTATTCCATTAAAATGAGAAGAAATGGCTGATGTTTAACAATGTCTCAGAAAAATAATAGCATTTATTGTTTAGAATCTTTCAAAAGGAGTGTAATCTCTCCATTAAATCTTAGGTGCAGAGGGAACAACAATTGTGCTATGTGGCAAAAGATCTGAAAGGACACTTTGGTAGGAGGAGGTGGGTGAGTGGTGGCTTAGCAGGAAAAGACTAAGGATGACGAGACCTGTGTCTGTTGGATGTTTTTGATGTTGGCCAGAAGGAAGCAAAAGAGGAGATTTCAGGTAGATAAAGAGAAGTTGAGACAACAGCGACCTGAAACTGTTCACCCCTACTGGCCCATTGTCCTCTTCTCAGTGAGATTCTCAGAGTAGTGCCCATTTCATGCAGTCAGTACTCGGATTCAGTAAAATGTCCTTTTCTTGTGTGTTAGTTTCAAAAAATTCTATAATGGCTTTGACTAATGGTAAACTTGAAAGCTTTTTTCCCATGGATTATTCATGGAATAAAATTAAGTACAGAGAATGGAAGAAATTTGGTCCTAGAAAGGTAATGCCATTTGACTCCTACTACAGAAAATGAAATCACATCCTGGAAGCTGGACATAATGAAAACTGATAGTATCAGCACAAACCCTTATTCAAAGCATTAATCAATAGAGAAAAAGAGTAAAGTGGAGTATGGAAACTTGTTTGATCTTCTTTTGGATGTAAAATTAGAATCACTTACAGGAATCGAAAGTGTCAGACTAAATCTATAAAGGAGAATTTAATGAAAATCTTCTTGTAGTTGATGACAAACATGTAGAAAAGTTTCTCAAAGCTCTGCTTCACTTGAACTCCATAAGATTAGGTTTTGTTTTGATTTTGATAGATATGACAGTTTTAGTTTCGTTTTGTCAAGTTAAATCTTAAAAATGAACATCAGACTTTTGTAAGATTAGTAGTGAATAGCATCAGAGTTTGGATTCAAAATTATACTGGTAATTGAACAGTTTCAAGATACTGATTTAGTAGACTTTGAAAAGTAAAATTAAATAATGTTTACTTTTCTTTTTCTTTAGTACAGTGTTTCTCTTTTTTTTCCATAGTGCTTTTGTATTTAATTGATGTTTAAGAGATTATATTTTTGCTCAGTGGATGATTATCTCATAATTAAATTATACATACAAATATACAATGCTGGCAAGTATTTTTCTGTAGAAGAAACAGAAAAATTAAGCATTTATAAGTTTTCAAACTATTTTCTTTTGCTCTGAGTTACTGTGTATCTCCTCAATATGAAAAATGGGTTAAGTGGATGTTTTGTGCCTCAGACATTTTAACAAGTTATGTTATTAAATTGAAAAATAAATTCCATTCTCTATTTTTCCAAATTATTTAGTACAGAATCAAGATATATTATACATTCATAAGTTTTTCCATCGCTTAACTTTGGTTCACATTTGTTAATGACTGTATGCACAATGTAGATTAGAGATACAATAATATCATAATCTATTCCTAGATTCATTCTTATATGTAGAATGTTTGAAGCAAGAGATAACTATTCTTGGGGCTGGGGATTTAGCTCAGCGGCATAAGCACCTGCCTTGCAAGCAGGCAGTCGTGAGTTCGGTCCCCGGTACCGATAAAAACGAAAAAGACAAAAAAAAAAAAAAAAAAAAAAAAGAGATAACTATTCTTGAGGGAATTAACAGGGATGTGTCTTATGGTAATATATTTTAAAATTTAAACACACACCATAGTTTTTTATCAGCCCTTGAATATTATTCTTTTGATCCTAGTAACTCTAATGATGGTGTGTTACTTTACTGTCTGTCTAATAGACAAAGAAACTACAGTGTAGAAATATTTACTTGGTAGTTTTTATAATCCACTTAAGATCCATGACCATCAAGTGATCAAGTTTTACTGGAACCCAGTAATCCTGCTCGTTGGACACAGAACCCGTCCTACAGCATTATGTGATTCCTTTCTTTGGCTTCCCTAAAACTCTATTTGTTAATCATAAAAAAGATACTTACTGTTCAATAAAATATTTTGAGATCAAAAAGTTGTAAACAAATGGAAGACCAATGAAGAAGATAAAATATTTTGATTCTAAAAGACAAAATTATTTGTGTCTATTTTGAGCTTCAGATTTATTTTCTCTATTTTTTGAAAGTGATTAAAAATGATTCAGCTCAGCAGTGCAAGTGCCTATCTGATGAACGCAAGGTTTGATTCCCTCTACCAAATAACAAACAAACAAAAAACCTCTTATTCCATTTGACCTAAAAGGTGAGCATAAACAGGTTTGGGATATGTTGAAAAATCAAGAGGTCAGACAGCTGTTGAAGAATTCACTGACGAATATTCATCAGCATATTTACAAAAAAAACTTGTATTTTATATATTGGAGGTGTAATTGAATGTATTTGAAATGCAAAATCATTTTTTGAATAATAAAGCTTTCTCCAAGAACACTTTGGTATTTAAATTAAGCATATATTCAAGAACAGTTTGATATTATGATTCTATTGACTTATAAATGCCTAGTAAGCTTGGAAATATAGAAAATTTGACTTCAAAAAAGGAAACATTTTGCTTTTTCCAGCAGGAGATACCAAATCAAAGGGATTTTTAAAACCCTTCCGTATAATTAGAAAGTTAGATGTTTAATCATGTCTCCTTGATGTTTTATCTTGTTTTCTTCTGCATTCTCTGAAAGTACTTTTGGATAAATATCTCCATCGGTTACATTAAAATGAAGAAGGAATATGTCTTGAATAAAGTTCAGAGTATACTAATTGTTTAATAAGTTATTCTTTATAAACAAAGAGCTTCACTTTTGGCTTTATCTGTCAGTCTCTTATAAAGACAGCTAACACAATCTCCCTTCCCCAGGTACGGCGCCTTCTGAGTAGCAGAGTTCTGGATTACTGTGATTTTACTCTATACAGCAATCTCTGAGCTTCTTACGATCCTTTTCTTCCGTCTTTTAGTAGTGATTCCAGAGTGGTTTGTTTACAGCTGTGACGCAACTCTACAGTAATCAATTATTGTAAAAAAAAATCTGAGGTTTTGTAAATGATTTGGGCTTCCAAATTAGATGCAGTCCAAAGTTATTCAGATAATAAAATAAATTTGCTTGTGTTTAAGTAAATCATCTCTTAGTTAAAAATTACAAATCTTGTAAAATTACAGGATTATTAGGGATTGAATATAAATGTCACTTGCTACAATTTTTATTCAATTTAAGTCCAATAATGACATTGGACATAGTTATTTGGTGCTAAATAATGCAGTGTTATACTGTTTTTGATTACTGATCAATCTTTATACTACTTTATAAAAGCTGTACTATAGTTGCAAAAAAAATCAGATAAATTCAGCAAAAAGAATTCATACAGCTTAAAGATAACAATTGTGCTAGTAGGTCTTCCCAGTAAATTTAGCAGGCAGGCTTGGCAAGTGAGTTTGTGTTGCCTATCAGCAAGGTTGCCAGTAGGTACAGGATTGTGCATATTGTTATTTGTTTGTTTTTCTTAGTTTTTTTGTAATATCATCAATTTTTAAATGTTTCCTCAACATAATGTAGATGATATACTACAGGAATTTGGAAATAGTAGAAATATATTTGCCACTCATGAGGAAGTCTTCATTAATTTCCTTTTTAAAACCTGCATTACACATTTGTGCCTTTTCTTTTGCCAACCACAAGAATTTGTTTTGTAATCCAGTCATTTGTAAGATTGTTTCACACGCTCTTTGGACTGCCAGTTCCACAGGGACGGAGATCTGTATTTGGATTGCTTCACAGTGGAAAATGTAGTAGGCATGCATTAGCTTACATTGAATGAATGGTATTATTTATGTTATTTGATATCATAATGATCTTTATTAAAGCTGTGGAGTGTTGGATTTACTACGAATTCTAAATATTCTGATAATTAAGTATATTTCTGGGAAAACATTTTATTTGCTGTCTTAACAATTCAACAGAATATTTTAACATAGTTCAAGTAATATTTTTATGAAATATAAACATGAAATTATTAAAATTTGGTCATTAATTTTCAAGCTGAATATATTAAAATATGTATTAAATACATTTTGAAATAATCATGGTGGGTATAGTGACCATACAAATAATCACATTTATTTTATATTTTATACAATACTATATTGCAATATACTATACCTTATATTATTTTATATTTTATTAATAAACATTCAGAAAATATTTTATTTCCAATTTCCTTAGCTATTTCTCTTTCGGATTTTTGCTGAATTGATACTTATCCAACATGTTTTTATTAGGTTACAAAATGGGAAGAATACAAATTCTCTTGGGAGTTTCTAGCAATAATTACATTTTGATCAATGGAAAAGACATTCCCTAGCCCAAATTTCAGTATTATAAGTGCAGGACAAATAATGCTCACAGTAGTCTTCATTATAAAACTTTTATGTATCAGAAATTAATTGATCTATAGTCTTTCCACAAGTGGTAACACAATAACTGCATAGCCATAAACAAAAAAAGTGATCATCAACTTACACTTTGTAACACATACAAATGTTAATTAACTTAAAAATCAGGCAGGAGCCAAAGTAAATTCAAACAATAAAATTTCTAGGAAAAATATTATCTTCGTAAAATAAGGACTTCTATGTAATACGAAAAGTACAGAGAAAAAAAAAGACCACTTACTGGATGCTTCAATTTACATAAAACTTGAGGAAATGTAGCAGCAGAGAACAATGTGGAGAGACCTTGGGAGGAACCAAGGTGTTCCGCTGCCCAGGGGGACCCCGAAGAGCAAGCAGCAGCTGTGGGGCATCACCAGAAGGCCAGCCCGAGCTCCGCTGCTGGCCGAGAAGGGAAACACTGACGCCCAGGACAGAAGATGCAAACAACTTGGGGGCGTCCATTCAGGAGGAGACAGTTGCAGAGCGAAGCTGCATCTCATCTGAACCGGGTCTCCAGGTACTGTATTACCAAGGCTTGGTTGGTAGTCTGCACCGTGAAGGAAATAGACGAGGAGCAAATCAGCTTCCGCCTCATCATTTCAGAACCGATACATCAGTCTGCATGACATGAACCCAAAAAACACCCAGAATATCAAACGGCTCCAGAGCAGCAATGTGGAGACACTGTAGTGGGGCCCCGGCTCTATAAGTTTGGCCCCAGACCTACATTGCCTGGGTTTGTTACCTGACTATTAACGACAGGGAGCCTGGCAGGAAGTAGTGACCACATCTCTCTGTTTTTAGTTACAGTTTAATCAAACTCTCATCTGGTCCTGTAGAAAGAAAAAAAAAGTGAAAATAAAAAAAGCTATATACCAATCAGATTCATCGGTGTCAATAATATCAAATATTTAAGAGTAATAAAAGTGTTTGCATATACTGTGCTATTATATAAAAGAAAATGGTATCTGGACTAAAGTGTATTTATTTTACTGATGCAAGGATGACTTAGTATTATTAATATAATTTATATAGATTAGAAGAGAAAAGGGCAAATAATTATCTTAATTGATTAGAAAAATTAATTTGAAATAATTCACACTCATACATAGAAAAAGTTACCAAAAAATAGAACAAGGCAGAAAGTCCCTTAATCAAATGAATGCTTTAAGCTAAAAATATTAAACAAACCATCCCAAAAGAATATTTAATTGTTGATTTTCCTATTTTCTGGCTTTGAAGGCTTTTAATGCTTTCATTCTTTTGTTTTGAGCAGTTTTATACTATTTTGTTTTGTTTGAATTCATCATGTGTGAAGGTATGGACAACTTTTTCAAAGACTACAAGACACATTATGGTAGCCACTGCTGATAATCCTGTTGTCTTCTTTTGAAATCCTATATTGCTTGCATTGTTTTGTTCTGGTCTGCTTTGTTCTGTTTTGTTTTGCTCTCTTTAAAATAAAATAAAATAAAATAAAATAAAATAAATATTTAAAAGGAAACTATTTAGTGTCAGACCAAAATAAAGGCATCTAGTATGAGTGATTCTAATCCATCAGTACAAAACAAAGCAATGCAAAACCAAACAAAAACGAATCCATAAATAAATTTAAAAAGTTATCAGTAGTGCCATGATAGTTTTCTACAAGAACATTGTGTACGCAATGTGAGTGGCAGTATTTCAATGTGCTATATATGAAAGAAAAGGTGTAAAACTGCTCCCATGCACAGATAAATGGATGTCTATGTAACAATCCAAGCTATTCATATAAACTATTAGAACTAATAATAGACATTAGTCAAATCAATATCCAAAATGGATATTATTGCAAGCAGCAATCATAGGAATAAAATAAAATAATAACAATAATAAAACATCTTATTACTCAAAATTACATATTTCTTTACAATATTTTTACCAGAGAATCTAAAATCATCTGAGACGAAAAAGCTACAAAACCTAACACTGCTGTATTCACTAAATCAAAAGACAGGCACAGTAGAGGTGGGAATCTCGAGCTCTCATACTTGTCATTTCTACTTAAATTAATGTGTGCATTTAATGCAGTTACTTTAAAAATTCCTAGCTCAAACTTTCTTTCTAAATATATATTAATAGGTTGATTTTAAAATTCATATGAAAAACTAAAGCAAAATAGTGATCATAATTTTAAAGATCAATATAATTTGCCCTATCAGATAGCAAAATTTCTATCAATGGTATTATTACAAAGATATAAACATATGGTGATTGGTTAAAATTTTTAAATTATTACAGTAAAAGGTACATTTTTATTTATCCCTTTCAAAATACAATGTCTCAGCTCAAACACACTCATTCCATGTTTTCCAGTGTGGGAAGCAGTGGAAGCATGAGCACTGGCTTGGCTATCTCATGTCCCGGACTGATTAAAACACTTACCTTTCATGTGCTCTTTGACTTTGGGAAAAACCGAGGTCACTGGTAAGTTGGGTGAGAACACATCATAATGTTTTTAAGAGCCAGCCTTTCTATTGGACGGCATTGAGAAGCGGTACTCACCATGTTTTTTCACATCTCAAAATGACATTCACAAAAAAGAACTTCCAGAACTGGCCAGAAAGTGGCAATGATGGGATAATGGTTTTAAATATTTTTTAAAATTTAAACATTTACCATATACTTTGATCACTACATATGCATACACACACACACACACACACACACACACACACACACACACACACACATATATGTACAAAAACCTGCATGCATTTATCTTTACCATCATGTACACAAATAAAATACTAAAATGCATATATACATACACAAATGCATACTAATAATATATCTACATATGTAGGGTCTTAGTTACTTGTTTCACTGCTGAGATAAAATACCCAACACCCACAGTTAAAGGAGGAAAGATTTATTTGGCTCATTGTTCATAAAAGTTTCTGTGAATAGTTGACTGTGGCAGAGAGACATTGCAGAGGACAAACAGTTCATGGTAAGCAGCAGGAAAAAAAGGCAGCAAAGCAACTATCTACAAGTGACAACAGCAGAGCTCTTTCTGTCCTTTACATTATATCCAGGTTATACCCCCTTAGGGGAGTAGCACATATGCCCAAGGTGGGCCTTCCAATTATCCACACCAAGAACCATGCCAAACCAATTAGTGGACTAATTTAGTAATCACACACTCTTGATCCCTACATCACACAATGAATCCCAGCATCACATACTTTAGACACAGTCACCTCTCTGAAAACCCTACCTATGAGTGCTTTATATAACAGGTAGATATAGATAGATATAGATACAGATATGTGTATCTCTCTATAAATACCTATGTATACCATTGCACACAGTTTGAGAGAAAGATGTTGAGAGACAGATATCAAAACTTGAAAAAAGCAGAAGAGACAGTCCATGAAACAACCACTTGATTATAAATGAAATAAAAATGCAACCAAGGTTTTAAAATAAGTTCAATGGAATATTCATTTTGAATAGGGACAGATCCAAAAGTTACAAAATTTATAATGGTCCAGCCAGATAAAGTGCTTTTTAAAATTTAATAATGGAAAGCATGTGCAAAATTAAATTAGTAAAGGTATCTGCAAGTCTTATTGTCAAAGTATTTGGAATGAAATATGTAAACATTCTAACAATTCCTACTGTTGACAAAAGCAATCTGATAAAAATGAGCAACTATATGAATGGCCAATTCACTGAAAGGAATGCAATAATAGATTAGAATATGTGAAATATTTTATTAACAAAATGGAATATGTGGATTTTGGCTGCAGCAATTTTCTTTTAGGTAAATCTATGTTGCCTCCCCTTGAATCTATGTGGGCTTTTGATGGCTTAAATCAATTAAAAAGTGTGACAGAATTGATAATCTGTTAGTGCACAGAGCACGTGGAATTTGATGAAGATCACACCTTGACTTTTGAATACCTGCTCTCTTCCAGGGGCAACTCCTCTGAGCTTGCCGCATTGTGAAAGAGTGTAAGGAGGCCTGTGTAGATGCTCCTAGTCAAGCTTCAGTTGCTTCTTGTCATCAGTTGTTTAGCAATTTCTACCTGAGGTCACTGATGTTATGGTCAAGTCACAGTCCATTACTTTGGGGCCTTGTCCTAATTCCTGTTCCATGAGAATAGTGCACATAAAATAAAAGTGACTATTCTCTTAGCCCATTTAGTTTTTAGGTAATTAGTTATGTAGCATGCACACATATATAAATAAATGAATAAATGGAGCACAGTTTGAAACAATATTTTTTCACATCCTGTATATTGCTCAATAAAACAACTCACCATAACGAAAGTCACACACAAATGTCAATAAATGCAGAATTCATATACTTCTGGTAGAAATGCGAATCATTCTTCAGGGAATATTTAGGCAACATCTAGAAATTTTAAGAAAACTTTAAGCCAGTAAGCCAACAATGATATTCCCAGCATTGCCCTTGTAGGTATGAGAAAGAGAGAGAGAGTGAGAGAGACAGAGAGAAACAGAGAAAGAGAGAGAAAGGAGAGAGAGAGAGAGAGAGAGAGAGAGGCAGAGAGAGAGAGAGAGAAATCTGCATATTGCTGTATGCATTTTCATAAGAAAACTTTGGAAGCAGTCAGTAGGGGAAATACCTACATAAATATTGCTTCATTTATATGATAAATATGCGGTATTCTCTACTTATGGAATAAATCTTTGAAACCATATTATGATGCATTGAAAATAAATAGTTTTTATGTATCAGTATAGATGATTTCTAAAAAATAGGTACTATAAAACATGATTCTATTTAGCATGAGGCCACTTAGAGAAAAATGAAAACAACACTATATTTTATTTAAATATGTATACATGCCCGATAAAATAGAACTACACGTGTAGGAAATAATTCATAATCATTGTTTTTCATCCCTGATTGAACTAAGGGAATCAAGAAATGGCAATTTATTAAATTGCAATAAATCAAACTAAATATAGCAAAATATTAAAATTTGAATGCCCTGATGGCACCACGGTAAGATATACAAGTATCACATTTTTCTTCCTATGTTCTTTATAGTTTTGAATTATCTCAGAAAAGACTTTTAATTCTTTAAATTTCACTGTAGTATGATTGGTGCTTGTTGTAGTCAGGGGCTGTGAGGAGAACAATTAAAATCAGGGCATGGAATTTATAATATTATTTTATGATGGTCAACCAGAGTTAATTCAAGAAAGTGCAGGAAATCTATCTACAATGCTAAAGACATGGAATATTCAACCAAGAGCCTGAATTCCACAGAATGTCCTGTATGAGTCCAGATGAAGACTCAGAGCTCCAGAAAAGGCCTCCCACCAGTCCAGCTGGAGGTCTAGAGCCCTCAAAAAGGACTCATGCCAATCTCTTTGACGGATCTGTGCTGGAAAGGCCCAGAAGTCAGCAGTGGAAGCTAAGAAGTCTATGCCAGCAGGGTGAAAGAGCTGTGCTAGTAGCTTGAGGTCCTACACTGCAGCTGAGAAGTCACACTCAAGACAAAGACCAAGGCTGTACTGATAAGCACCACAGCATCCTCAGAGACATGGAGGCCTCAAGCTCCTCTGACAATAAGCACAGTCGAGTACATGCCAGGAAGCCAGCATGACAAGTTTATCCGGAAATTAAGTGACATACATTTTTCCCTTCCAGAGCCAGGAAGCAATGCTCGATGTGAGGACCAGAGCTTCTCCAGGAGAATCAACAGTTCAAACAGCAACACAAAGAGAACCCACAATGCCTCAATGCCTCAGTGCCTCCAAACCTCCCTTCTCCTTCTCCACATCTCTATTTATGCTGGCAGCTTTCCTCAGG